ATTCCACCTATATGCATATATGTGAAAAATAAACAGAATAGCACAGTGAGCCCCCACACACCCATCACTCAACTTCAACAACACAGCTTTATCCCCTCACCCCTACTTCTCCCCACCTCACCACCAGATTGTTTGGAACACATCTAAGAAATGATCTGATTCCTCTGCAAATGTTTCAGAATAAACAGTTGTTTAAGAAAGTTTAGCTCTGAGGGGGAAGTAAAGAAGAGCTACTAACTGGGGGTGATGTCTGGGGCAGTGTGGGTGTGTGTATTTTTGATATGGGAGATGCTGAAGCATATTTAAATGCTGATGGGAAGGATCTGATAGACGTGGAGAGCTTGCCCTTGGACAAGAGAGACATCTCTGTCATTAGCAAGAGAGAGGCACATAGGAAGTTGAGGGAGTCCCTGTCTCATAGGTAATTTTTTTTTTTTTTTATGAGAAGGATCAAGGGGATGGTGAGGTTTTGAGGATCTTGGTGACAGTTGGAAGTGAGCACTGTGGAGTGGAGAGTGAATGCATTGGAGACACACTGGAACATGGGACCTGTTGAGGGCCCCTTGAAATGGGGCATTCCAGTGAATTGAGTCAGCTTGGTTGTTGGACTTTTTTTCCCTCTAGGATTACACATTTGTCTGGATGTATGTTCAGAGAGGAAAATGATTGGTTCACACTGGCTTGGCTTTTTTTGCCAGATTGGGTATGGCCAAAAGATAGGGTGAGGGCTATTTAGAAGAGCAGCTAGATCTGTGATCTGTAGACTCAAAGCTGAAAAAGAAAGTAGAGGACTAGTGGTTCTGGAGAGGTGTCGGTGTGGCTGTGATGGCGGCTTAAAAGAAGCCAGTGACAGTATTGCCTGTGGGGTGCAAAAAGAAGCAGCAACCACCAGCTGATAGCTGAGTTTGGGCAGACTGTGGGCAGCTGCATTTGAGGAATTCAGGGTGATGTCCAGATCCAGCATGTCTATGAGAGTGGGTAGCTGAAGTGGAATGGAATTTTAAAAAGTGGAGTGGAATAAAAGACAACCGAAAAATAGGACATCAAGTTGCTGCGAGAGCATGCGTGGGATGGCTCATCCATCCACATGGGTGTTGAAACCACTTAGGTGATAGCAAGAGTTGCAGTATAGTTGTAGGACTTCCATGAGTTGGGTCAGCCAAGATGAGGGGCAAGGAAGGAGCTTCGCAGTGGTGGAAGGCATAGGCCTCAGAAAGGGAGATGTTTTGGCCAGGCACAGTGCCTCACACCTGTAATCTCAGCACTTTGGAAGGCTGAGACAGGTGGATCACTTGAGGTCAGGAGTTCAAGACCAGCCTGGCCAACATGGTGAAACTCTTGTCTCTACTAAAAATAGAACAATTAGCTGGGCACGGTGGCAGGCGCCCATAATCCCAGCTACTCAGGAGGCTGAGGCAGGAGAATTGCTTGAACCCAGGAGGTGGAGGTTACAGTGAGCCAAGATCAAGCCACTGCATTTTAGCTTGGGGACAGCAAGACTGCGTCTTAAAAGAAAAAAAAAGAGAGATTATGTTTTTACAGGAGGGTGAGGGTGTGTCATAGTCTAGAAGCAGCACCAAGGATCAGGGCCCAGCCAACTTCTCCTCATGACCCTTTCAGACCCAAGCCAGCTCAACCTGAGGGGTGGTGAGGAAGCATTGGCCTCAGAGTAGAGCCAGGTTTCACCGAAGGCACTGCAAACTCACTTTGATTTTTCACTGTGCAGTGCTGTGCTGTGGTGCACCCAGCCTACTGCCTGAGTGGGCCTGACCTCTGTCTCCAGCGTATTTCTCTAGAACACTGGCCCCTGGGTTGTCATTCTTAGCCACTTCCAGGTTCCCACCTCCCAAAATATTAAGACTAGGTAGCAAATATTAAGATAGGTAGACAAAAGCAAACTGAACCTAAGAATTTTCAAATAGCAAAAATCGTGGATTAACTTGAATATGTTCCTACCTCATAAAGAAAGAATTAATGAGATCTGTCTCCATGTGCTGTACTTTTATATCTGACATTCCTCCTGGGCTCTAAGCCATATATCCTAATTTTACTTGAAAACGGCTATGGGGTATATTTAATATGCATTATTTACATTGATTTATGCTTGAGATGTAACTATTGAACATTTTTAGTGATTTTTGTCTATACGATAAAGTCTTGCCATAATTTGATGCGTTATTTCACAAATCCAGCCTTCTATATAGTATCATTATTGTGAAGGCAATGAGCACTCCCCAGCTCCCCCGTACTAATGAAAAGACATGGAAATTATCCTATACAAATGATCCTGAACTGTAAGTCTCAGATGACAGCAAAGGGACTTGTTAGTTTGGTCAAACAGTATCAGGGCCCTAGGAAACAAGTGAGAGTGAAGGATGTTATGATGAAGGGAGGCCGCGTTTCATTTCTACTGTGGTTTTGTGGTCCAAGTAGGGTCATTTTGCATTTAATGTTTGCTTAGGGACAAGCGCCATTTTGACTGGTTCTCAGTTATGTTTTGGCCATTACTTCCTGTGAGAGGAGATGCCAGTTGTGACAGCAGATCAATTTTTAAATAAAACTCTTTTTTTTGAGACAGGGTCTCATTCTGTTGCCCTGGAGGGTAGTGGTGCCATCTCAGTTCACTGCAGCCTCTGCCTTCCCAGGCTCAGGTGATCCTTCCAGCTCAGCCTCTGGAGGAGCTGGGATTACAGGTTTGTGCCACCACATCCCACTAAGTTTTGTATTTTTTGTAGAGACAGGGTTTCACCATGTTGCCCAGGCTGGTCTTGATCTCCTAGGGCTCAAGGGATCTACACACCTCTGCTTCCCAAACTGCTGGGATTACAGCTGTGAGCCACCATGCCCAGCCAAAACTTTTTTCTTATTCATTTAAAAATACCTGTCTCTCAAATCTTTGAGTTTCTGTGAGGTGTTAATCTTCCATGATAGCCTGCAAAGGTAGACAGAGACTTCTCTGGAATGTTGATACAGTCCATGGTACAAATGGAGCCTGATGTTACCCACTTCACAAACTACTTACCTTATTGGACTCAACTTGGGTCACTTTTCCTAATTCGAGAAGACTGTCCAGGTCTTAGGGAGTGATGATAATCAGTTGCCAGTAACTGACCCATAGTGGGGATTAATGGAAGGTTTAATAGTAGAATCGCTCTGTGCAGCCTTTGCTTATGATCTGGACTCTCAAGTCTGCCTCTTGAGTTCAGATCCTAGCTCTACCACTTACAGTGGATCTTGGGTGGATTCGTCAATGCTTCTGAGTCTTAAGTTCCTCGTCCGTACCTCACAGGATTGTTGTGAGCATAAATAGTACAGCCTGTGGCACATAGTAAGTGTACCCAGTAGCTGTTATGTTGGATTGTCATGCACTTACCAATTTGATGCATTTGGGAATGGTTAGGTTTTAGATTGTATTTCTCCACTATCACTATTTACAATATTTTTTGGACATTTGCCTTCTCAGTAAGGCCTTCCCTGACCACTCTATTTAAAGGTGCAGGCTGGGCGTGGTGGCTCACACCTGTAATCTCAGCACTTTGGGAGGCTGACGTAGGAAGATTGCTTGAGGCCAAGAGTTTGAGACCAGACTGGACAACATAATGAGACCCTGTCTCTACCAAAAATAAAAAAAATTAGCTGGGCATAGTGGTGTGCACTCGTAGTCCCAGCTACTCAGGAAACTGAGGTAGGAGGAGCACTTGAGCCCAGGAATTTGAGATTACAGTAGGCCATAATCATACCACTGCACTCCAGCCTGGGTGATTAAGACTGGCTCAAAAAACATAATTAAATAAAATAATAAATGTGCCCCTATCCACCCTCTACAGCCTGCATGCCTCTACCCAATCCTTCTTGTCTTCCCCATCCCCATTTCCTACTTTTTCTCCATTACACTATTTTTATCTTTCCTTCCTTCCTTCCCTCCTTCCTACCTTCCTTCCTTCCCTCCCTCCTTCCTTTCTTCCTTTCTTCCTTCCTTTCTCCTCCCTCCTCCCTCCTCCCCCCTCCCCTCCGCCCTCCCCCCCTCCCCTCCTGTCTCCTCTCCATTGCACTCCAGCCTGGGTGATTAAGACTCTGTGTCAAAAATAGAAGAGAGGAGAGGAGAGGGGACAGGAGGGAAGAGGAGCGGGGAGGGGAGGGGAGTCTCATCTGTCACCCAGGCTGGAGTGCAGTGGCACAATCTCAGCTCACTACAACCTCTGGCCCCCATGTTCAAGCAATTCTCAAGTCTCAGCCTCTCGAGTGGCTAGGATTACATATGCCTGCCACCACACCCAGCTAATTTTTATATTTTTTGTAGAGGCAGGATTTCACCATGTTGACCATGCTGGTTTTGAACTCGTGACCTCAAGTGATCTGCCCACCTTGGTCTCCCAAAGTGTTGAGATTACAGGCGTGAGTCACTGTGCCCAGCTCCTGCACTATTATTTTTAAATAGACTGTCCAGCACACTACTTTTCCTTTCAGTCTGTCTTCATCTGCCAAAATGTGAACTTCATGAGAGCAGGCCTCATGTGTGTTTAGTTCACTGTTCTGCTTTCCATGCCCAGACCTGGAGAACAGTGTCTGGCTTAGTGGGTGCTCAGTCAATCTTTAGTAGAATGAAGAAATTGACTTTGATAGTGGTCATATGATTCGATATGCCATCAAATATTACAAAAGCTGCTGCAGCTGTCTGAAATGCCTGTGTTTTATTCAGACGTTCTTGGGGATTATTTGTTCACTTGCCTATCTCAGACTTCCTTTTCTAATTGGAAGATAATTGAAGCCAAGTAGAACAGGTTTGAGGGGATGAATAAGTTGAATGAGGAGAAGGAGTTAAGAATGACATTATTAACTACTCATCTGCTTTACTTCTGTCACCTTTTCCTTCAGCACGAACATCACCAAATACCTGTTGACCAGGGAGATGCTTGTCTCAATGGTAGATTTTTTTAAGTATAATTTTACTTGCTTGTCTGTTTTATATGCAACAGAACTTTGCTGTTTTTCTCTTTTAGGGCACCAATGCCTCTGCTCTGGAAAAAGACATTGGTCCAGAGCAGTTTCCAATCAATGAACACTATTTCGGATTGGTCAATGTAAGTATATAAAATGTGTTATTTTCATCAAATGTTTTAGAGTATGTGAAGCAACTCCACTTTAAGTGCATTTTTATCACTACCAATTTTTGAATGATTAGTCATGCTCCTTAGTATATGGGATGTCAGTGTTAGGGAGGGCCAATTTAACCTATTTTTGAAAGTATGAGTTGTCCCAGCAAAAAACATTTAATTATTGCATTTTGGGTCAAATTTACATTTTCGTCCCTATCCTTTAAGGAATTTCCTTTGGACACATAACTTTCATAATAATTTCATTAGTCTTTGTAGTCAAATCTGCCTTTTTTTTTGAGATGGAGTCATGCTTTGTTGCCCAGGTTGGAGTGCAGTGGCGCAATCTTGACTCACTGCAACCTCTACCTCCCAGGTTCAAGTGATTCTCCTGCCTCAGCCTCCCGAGTGGCTGGGATTACAGGCATGCACCACCATGCCCAGCTAATTTTTTGTATTTTTAGTAGAGACGGGGTTTTGCCATGTTTGCCAGGCTGATCTCAAACTCCAGACCTCAGGTGATCCACCTGCCTCAGCCTGACAAAGTGCGGGGATTACAGGCATAAGCCATCGTTCCAGGGCCCAAATCTGCTCTGACATGTTCTCTCTGTGTTGTCTGGATGAACAGTCCAGCCAGTCTTTGTTTAAGTATGCATCGGTACAACCAGAGTGTTAAAAACATTGCCAGCACATTGCCAATATCTTTCTTTAACAATGTGACTTGGTGATATACCTGAAGCTGGACAGGCTGTGGGGGTAAAACTGGGACCATTTTATCTCAGAATTCCTGGCCTCATTTTTCTTGTGCTCAGCGGTAACTTCCTTGTCGAAGGCTGGACCCAGCAGCCCTGCTTCCTTGGTAGGTTGATGACAGTGGAGTAGTAAGGCAGTAGAGGCAGTACGTCCTCACCCTCATAAGCTTTCTTCCTCACCTGATCCTTTTCCTCTGGGATATAGATGTTAGTGATATCAAATATTAACTTATAAACAACTGGTTTTCTGAATAATTATACTGAGCATAGTCTGTCAGTGCCCAGGTGTGGTAAGCAGTAATTTCCCCTGGGAAAGCTGGAAATATTCTCTGCGAGTAAACACTGTCCATGATAGAATGAGAAGAATATGGGCTTCAGTGTAATACAGAACTTGGTTTGAATTCTGCCTGTGCTACTCCCTAGCTTGTGTGATCTTGGGCAAGTTACTTGCTCTCCCTGAGCCTCCATTTCCCCATTATGTAAGATCATAATAGTTTCTACCCTTTGGGTGATAATGAAGGGTAAATGAGAGCTCCTATTTATTTATTTATTTTGAGACGGAGTCTCACTCTGTCTCCCAGGCTGGAGTGCAGTGGCGTGATCTTGGCTCACCACAACCTCCGCCTCCTGGCTTCAAGTGATTCTCCTGCCTCAGCCTCCTGAGTAGCTGGACTATAGGCATGTGCCACCATGCCTGGCTAATTTTTTTGTGTATTTTAGTAGAGATGGGGTTTCACCATGTTAGCCAGATGGTCTCAATCTCCTGACCTGGTGATCTACCCGCCTCAGCCTCCCAAAGTGCTGGGACCACAGGCAAGAGCCACCATGCCCAGCTGAGAGCTCCTCTTTAAAACCCTGGCATGAAGCTGAGGCACCCTGTGGACACTCAGTAAATGTTAGTTCCTTTCCCTTCCTAGGAGTTGTCCACTGAATTGGGGCCAAGTGTTACTGAAGGGTGTCTGGGAAAGGCGAGATACTGATAGAAAAGAATGGAAGGAGGAAAGCTAAGTCCTGGGATATAGGGCATTGTGTTGGTGAAATACTGACTTACAATTTTAAAACAAACTTTTTAGCCATCGTGCACAGGCCTCTGATTAGCCCTGTGAAGAGAGTTATTCAAGGCATGGGAATTCTGCCCTGGCTAAGAAAAATACAAATGCAGATTGTGGAGAAAAGAAAAAAAAAGAATTAAGGCCGTTTCCTAGTTTGTGTAAGGATGGTGAGATCTGTGTTTATTAATAGCTTCATTTATGTTCCCTTTGAATGGTAAGTTATGAAAGTTCCAGCTTCTCTGTACAAAGAGGTTTGTCTCCTGTTACATAATTGTGTCAAAGTAGATTAAAATATAAAAATAGGAATCCTTCTATCTTAGCATACATAGAAATGTCATGTTAAGTATGGCAGAGCATCTGTCTCGCTCTTGGGTAAACGACACACAAGCCAACAACCAGTGTTGAGAAGGTGTTCATGTTCTATTTTAATCTTACATAGCATTTTGTAATCTGTGTTATTAATCTTGTTAGTTATTTCCTTAGAATTTTTTTCTTTAAATTTTTTATTGCACACAACAAATTCTAAAGTGATAGTCTCAGCTATATTCTTCTATAGAGGTGGTCTTACAATCAGTTGAAAATTAGTGAGACCTTTTTCCTCTTTAATCATAATCTCAGTATCTATGCTCTGTGAGAGGTATACAATGTGATGGGTGGGCCCTAGTATGATTGCAGGCTAGGAACTTAGGTGGTATTGTATTGGCACAATTTCTACCTTGACAGAAGCAAGATCAAGGGCCATTTAGAAGTCCAGAGGGTGGGAAGCTGGGAGAGTGACATGAGGAGGCATTTCTTTTGCCTGCGTTGCTCAGGGTTAAGTGAGGAAATGTGGTCTGAGCCAGTGGGCAGGAGCACTGGAATACTGAGAAGGGAAAACCAGCCCCCGTTCAGCTTTGGCTGTTTCAGCCAAGCAAGTGGTTCCTAATTACTGGATTTCTCTTTGATTCATATTTTTATTTTCCCTGTCGTGGGAGTTTTGGTGTGTTGCAATGTGCATCTTTTATTTAGCCAGCTGTTTTCCTGGGTCTCCACATTATGTAGATTTTTTTTTCTTTCTCTTTTTTTAAGCACCAGCAGGTCTCATTAGACTCTTTATTGAGACAGAGTGCTTATTATCATTTTAGAGACTTTGATGGGCTAGAGAAGCACCAGAATGATGTGCATTTTTCTTCACTTCTCTCTTGATCAGATGGCCACTAGTGTTTAGAGTAGTTAACTAGTTTTCTAATATGGTGAGCTGGACTCAATACAGGGACAGCTGGGCCAGTTCCTAGAGCAGGGACCTGCTCACCCTCACTACTTATTCCAGAGGTGGCTCATCCCCAGGCGATGACTTGAACCATCCCTTTTGTCCCTTGGCAGTTTGGAAACACATGCTACTGTAACTCCGTGCTTCAGGCGTTGTACTTCTGCCGGCCGTTCCGGGAGAATGTCTTGGCATACAAGGCCCAGCAAAAGAAGAAGGAAAACTTGCTGACGTGCCTGGCGGACCTTTTCCACAGCATTGCCACGCAGAAGAAGAAGGTTGGCGTCATCCCACCAAAGAAGTTCATTTCAAGGCTGAGAAAAGAGAATGGTGAGTAGTATGCATTATAATGCGTTTAAGGCTCTGAAATAAAGAGAATTGACGGTTCTACTCCTCAAAAGCACAAGCTGGGATTTTTTTGAAAAGGGAAAATAAGCATGGTCAATTACTCAGTGTTATTTTTTAAGAAACAACATTCTTCTCTACCCAGTAGACATAAAACAAAACTGGATTAGAAACACGCTTAAACATGCACAATTATCATCCCAGTTTAGAATGACTTTTTATTTGCTCCATTCTGGGCAGGATCATTGTAAGAGAAAAGAGTGTCCAAGGCAGCCTTCCGAGTGGGATACTCATTGTGATAATTGAATAAAATAGTACTGGCTTAAAAGCTTATCATAAGTGATTAAAATAAGTGCCTATTATCTAATCAGAGCTTCTGCTGTTTTAAATATAATGCCTGATTTTCATTTGCCTAAGGTAATTGAAGGATATCAAATTGATTGCTTTATGTGATTTTTCAAAGTCCGGATTTTCCTCGTTTTTCTATCTTAGCTTTTAGGGGATTGTTGGGAGAAACTAGGTGTGTATTCCAGAAGTTTTGTATGAGCAATTTTTATGACTATAAAAGTATTTGTTACGGCAATTACTATTTACTTATATCCACCCTTACTCCATCAGATGTGCCTGGTTAATCAGGTATTTGTTTTATAAAGTGTTGTTTAACTTGATTGCTGTCTTTTGAAGTTACAGTTTATACATATCAGAATAAAAATTAATTTGAGTGGAGAAGGAAGCAGAGCACTCTGTCTAGTTGTGAACATGATTAATAATGAAGGTTCACAGCTGCATTCATCTCTTGATTGTTTGTCCTTATGGCAGGGAGCAGCAGTAGGCTTCTGGAATCATTCGTATTCAGTTTCAGAACATTATCAGATAGATGCCTGCTCACACATATCCCTCATCTCCCATCTGTGTTTCATCTAAGCTGCTTCCAGGCTGGTCCAGGGTTTAATATGGTCTTTGAAAAGAGACCCCAGTTGCTCTGAATAAATTACTCAATGAATAATTAATTGATCATTGGTGAATACATCATATTAAAAATTGGTATTTTATCAGGGAACTTGTCTGGTAACTTCTGTTCTTTTGTAGAACAAATAAAACTTGGTAGTTTTATATAAATGTGATGACTCCAGGGAGATATGGCAAATTTGTTCTTGATGGGTGGCAGAAAATGGAAATACATTTAAAAATTATTTGGAAGCTTACTCATTGAAGCTGCCTGGTAGAGTATATTTATATTCCATGCCTTTCAGTATAAAAATTGAAGTATGGGCTGGGCACGGTGGCTCAAGCCTATAATCCCAGCACTTTGAAAGGCTGAAGTGGGTGGATCCTGAGGTCAAGAGATGGAGCCCATTCTGGCCAACATTGTGAAACCCCGTCTCTACTAAAAATACAAAAATTAGCTGTAGGTGGTGGTGTGTGCCTGTAATCCCAGCTACTCAAGAGGCTGAGGCAGGAGAATCCCTTGAACCCGGGAGGCAGAGGTTGCAGTGAGCCAAGATCACACCACTGCACTGCAGCCTGGCGACAGTGCAGTGTGAGACTCTGTCGCCAGACTCCGTCTCAAAAAGAAAAAAAATTGAAGTCTGGCATGTAACATTTGAGTAGATCCATTTGCTTTTTAAGAACCAAAGACTGAAATAACTACCTTCTCCTTTCCAGATCTCTTTGATAACTACATGCAGCAGGATGCTCATGAATTTTTAAATTATTTGCTAAACACTATTGCGGACATCCTGCAGGAGGAGAAGAAACAGGAAAAACAAAACGGAAAATTAAAAAATGGCAACATGAACGAACCTGCGGAAAATAACAAACCAGAACTCACCTGGGTCCATGAGATTTTTCAGGGAACACTCACCAATGAAACTCGATGCTTGAACTGTGAAACTGTAAGTGCTAGGGGAGCTCTCATGTAACTCACATGTTCATATTCAGGTAGGCTGTGTTGCATGTGATTGCAATGTGGTATTAGAGCATTTAGCAGTTATTTGCAGTGTATGTAAATGATCCTGTTTGTGCATGTGAAACTCAAGGGCAAACTTTTGGAAGCATATATCCATCCAAGATGTCTCAGCAGGCTGAAGCTGAGTAATGAAGGAAAATCTCCTCATATGCTGAATTGTTTTGCACCATGGGCAAATTTTGGGGTCTGCAGATTTACCTATTGAATTGTATGTCAACCAGTTATCTTGCAATTTGGTCATAGGGAGGTCATGTGTGGTGTAGAATGGGACCATCACCTCAGTTCAGAGGCAGTTAGCTGTGGTATGTTGAAGTCAGAAGACAGGCTACACTCCTGTTTCTGTAGCAGTTAACTGGGTATTTGGGGCAAGTTACTTACAGCACTCTTGAGGGTTGAATGAGCTTATGTGTTTGGATGGGTCTGGCACGTGGTAGGCACTTAATGTTAATTGAATTTGAAGACATGTTCTCCAAAGCATGATTCAGGATGTCATATTTGCTTGGCATGTTTAACTTCAACCCTGTGGGTGGCCTCATATTTTGCTGCTTAAGAGCTGAGCCCTGGAGCCAGGCTGCCCAAGTTTGTATGCTGGCTTTTCCACTTAATAGCTAGTGGATCTTGAGCAAATTATTAATTTTCTCTCTCCTCACTTTCCTCATCAATAAAATGAGGATGATGGGAGTGCCCATCTTGGAGGGTTGGTGGTAGGATTAAATGAGTTGACACCTAGAGCCATGCTTGGCACCTGGCAAGTAGGCAGTAAATGCCAGCTACTATTATTTATTATAACTACTGCTGACAACAGAGAAAGTCTGGGTTCATTGGGGATCTCAGAGTTTCTTGACATTGTATGAAAAATTCTATAGGATTGTGCATTTTTCTGGAAGAAGAGGCAGTAGCTTTTGTCAGATTCTGCAAAGAGCCTTTGTCTTAGTCAGGTCTGCTATAACACAATCCATCAGGGGTTGCTTAAACAGAAATTCATTTCTCACAGTTCTGGAGGCTGGAAGTCCCAGATGAAGGTGCTAGAAGGGTCAGGTTCTTAGTGAGGACCTTTTTTCTGTCTTGCAGACAGCCACCTTCTGGCTGTGTCCTCACTTGGCGACACAGAGAGGAAGCAAGCTCTCTTGGGTCTCCTTTTATAAGGGTACAATTCCTATCATGAGGGCTCCACCCTCATGACCTGTTTGCCACCCAGAGACTCATCTCCAAATACCACCACATTAGAGACCAGGGTTTCAATGTATGAATTTTGGGAGGACATAGTCATTCAGTCCACTGTGAGCTATGACCCAAAAATGTTGAAGAAATGCATCAATGTCTGTGTTAGGGGAGAAGCTTTTTGGGTTTTGGCGGTCTTTCTTCCATCTTTTTAAACAATTTTTGAGTCAAGCATTCTGTTTTCCTCATTGTAGACACAACCAGTAAACATAGCTAAACAAAAAGAGACTAAAAGTTACCAGTAATCTTCCCACCCAGAGACAATAAATTTGTAACATTCTAAAAATTGTGATCACATTAGCCCAGAGATAACCACTTGAACATTTAAAAATATATCCTGTCAAAACATTTTCTGCAGGTAAGTATGCCAGTAAGTATCCAGAGACCTTCCCTCCGTGCCACTGTCTCTGTATTGCTCTCTCTTCTTCTCTCCCTCCCATTTTCCCTCTGTTCCTTTCTACTTTATATTCCAGTAAAATACACATGAGTACAAAAGTAGAGGCAGTAGTATGGTATATCCCCTTTGTGTATTATTCAGGATCAATGATTAACACTTTGGCCAATCCTCATCCTCCTCCCCACCCCCACCCTTTTTTCCTTGCAATTTATTTTTTGAAGAAATCAGAGTGTTTGTCCTACAGCATTTCCCATATTCTGGGAACATTCTTGTGGTATAGTTTAACATGTACAGTAAAATGGCAGTATGTTTCTACCACACTACTCTTCATTTTTATTTTATTTTATTTTATTTTTGAGATGGAGTCTAGTTCTATCACCCAGGCTGAAGTGCAGTGGCTCAATCTTGGCTCACTGCAACCTCTGCCTCCTGGGTTCAAGTGATTCTCTTGCCTTAGCCTCCCAAGTAGCTAGGATTACACCTGCCCTCCACCACACCTGGTTAATTTTTGTATTTTTAGTAGAGATGGGGTTTTACCATGTTGGTCAAGCTGGTTTCGAACTCCTGACTCTAGGTGATCTGCCTGCCTCAGCCTTCCGAAGTGCTGGGATTATAGGTGTGAACCACTGTGCCCAGCCCCTACTCTTTGTTTTTAGTTAATCTATCTATTTTATATTCATTTTTCTCTCTTCTTTTGGATCAATGAAATATTTTTCATTATTTTGGCATCTATTTTATTGCATTTCCAAATTCGTGTAGAGGTTACTGTAGAGATTACAACATGTATCCTTGACTTACTTCATTTTTTTCCCACTTTCCAACAGTGTTAGAGTCTTTAATATACTTTATCTCCCTCTCTGTCTTTTGTGTTACCATTTTATGATGAGCGTATGAATTTTTACATATTTCATGTGTTTTAATCCATTATAGTTTTTTATTCTTGTTGATATTCAGTTTATTTTCAGAATAACTCTGTATACTTTCAAACATCAAAATTAGGGCTATACTGTAAATATGACAGTTGACAGATTTTCAGTCTTTTTCATTTAATAAGGGTATACTCCTTGGCACCATCCTTACCCCACCTCTTTCATCTATTTTGTTGCCACTCCCTGTCTGCTGTATCTCCCTTAATATAGTTTTCTTCCTCTCCGCTGCTCCTATCCTGGCTCAGGCACCCATCAACTCTTGGCTGGCAGTCTCAACTAAACTACTGTAGTAACTCCTACTGGATTCTCTGTTTTTTTCCTCTGGCCTTCCTCCATGTTACTCTCCTACCTAAAGTATAATAGTGGCCTTCAGTCTCATTGAAAATACCACTGCCTACAAATTCTTACGTAATCTGGCTCTATGTCTCTGCAGGGTCATCTTTGCTATTCTGTTTCTTACTCTAGCTTTAGCCAGCTTCTCAAGCCTTTCAAAGCTCTTCCTGCTTCAGGCCCTTTGCACATGCTACTTTCTGTCTAGAATGCACACCACCTGTTCCTTTTGCTTAACTGAATCCTCTTCAGGTTTCAACTTGTGTTAAATCCTGAGAAAGGCCTTCTCTAAACTTCCAACTTAATGAAGTCTCCTTGTATATATAATTTTACAGTACTCTACTTTTCTGTGATAGTACTTTCTTATATTTATATATTTATCTAGATGTATTTTTAATGCAGAATCTATCTTTCTTGCTAAACCATAAGATTGATGAGGAAGGGATAGTGTCGGTTTTGCTTTTCTCTCTGGTGCCCAAAGAATATTTGGCATGTAATAATTACTCAGTGAATAGTTGAGTGAATAAATAAATGAAATTGTTTGTCATGTTTCTTGAAGAAGAAAACTATGTTATGGGAAAATGTTTTGCTGTATTTCATGAGCTAGAATTGAGGAATGATTCATTCTTAACCCTGGTCTAGACTGATAAATCCTGAAAGTATATTTTCAATTAGGAAATATATCATTTTTATAAGCTGTATATGTGTGTATATAAAGAATAGTTTAAAAAATCCACATGCCCAACACCCTGTTAAAAAATGGAACATTATCAATAACTTTGAAACCCTCTGTGTACTTCTTTACAATTTAATTTTCCTCTCAATCTCTTCCTTTGCCCCAGAGGTAACCACTGTCTTCCATTTTGTGTGTCAATACAGTTTTTTCTTTGTAGTTTTACACACACATGCATGCGTGTTTCTAGACATTTACTCAGTTCTGCATGTTCATGGCTTTTATATAGATGGAATCATATACATGTATTCTTCTAAACTTGCTATTATCAAAGGTTATATTAATATTTTTGAGAATTGGCTATTTCCTTGTAGCGTGGTTCATTCATTGTTATCATTTTGTAGTATCCCGTTGTAGGAATATACTGCAGTTTGTTTTTCTGTTCTTCTATGGTGTGTCTAGTTTTTGGCTTGTAGACAATGCTGCTACAAACCATAGGCCATATGGGCAAAATTCTGTCTGGGTATCCTTTTAGGCGCACAATTGCTGGCTGTAGGGCATGTACATCTTTAGATTTCCTGGGTAATGCCAAATTGTTTCTAAAGTGGTGGTAAGTTAGTTATGTTAATAGAGGTTTGTTTTTTTTTTTTTTACTTCTTTAATCCTTTTTTTTTTTTTTTAGACAGAGTCTCACTCTGTTATCCAGGCTAGAGTAGAGTGCAGTGGCGCAATCTTGGCTCACTGCAACCTCTGCCTCCCAGGTTCAAGTGATTCTCTTGTCTCAGCTTCTGGGGTAGCTGGGATTATAGGCATGCACCACCACACCTGGCTAAGTTTTATATTTTTAGTAGACAGGGTTTCACCATGTTGGCCTGGCTGGTCTTGAACACCTGACCTCAGGTAATCCACCCGCCTCAGCCTCCCAAAGTGCTAGGATTACAGGCATGAGTTAACACCCAGCCACATTGAGTTTCTAATGTTGCCTTCACTTTGTATTTTTGTAATAAACTGAATTGTAATAAACCCAATTCAGTTTATTACAAAATCTTTAGTACTTTATCTTTTATATACATTGTTGGATTGTGAGATCTAAAATTTTGTTTTGGATTTTTTGCCTCTGTATATTACTGAGATTGGCTTGAACTTTTCCTTTCTCTACTGTCTGGTTTTACTATCAACATTCGTGTAAAATTAGTTCTTGCTTTTCTTTAGAAGAGCTTCTATAAGTTTTTGTCTGCTTGTTCTTTGAATGTTTGCTAGAACTGATGACCTGTTTTTGCATATCTGAAATATATAGTTCAGTTTGGCTTGTTTTTGATATTCGTATGAATGGAATCGTAAATATGTATCTTTTTGTGTTTTGCCTTTTGCTCAGT